GGAATGTACGGCTACATGTCGTATTTTACATCTCTATCAAATTAGATTCCGACATCAAAAAAATTTAGTAGCATATCCCTGCTGTTCTTCAAGTGCAGCACGTATGTACTAAATACATACGCAACACTTAAAGAGCGCACAGACATGCTACCAAATTTTTCCTTATCGAAATCTAATTTAGGAACAGCAAACTATGACACATAATTGTGCATTCCCAAACTGTCCAAAAATGGGACAATTCAAGAACTAATTGGATCACAATCATGCTTTCGTAGTCATGCGTGAAATCCAACTAATTCTCAAATGGGAAACTAAGTTTTCATGAAAATAACATACTTAACTTCATAAATAAAAAAAAATCAAAAAATAAAAAACAGTTTTTGTACAACCGTACAAAAATGTTTACATACAAATAAATAAACTACATTTAATGTTAATGAAATAGCGAAAGAAAATATACTCCTAATTCGTTCCTCGCCTATAGTTGTTAAAAAGAAACACCTACACACCATAAATTTAATTTTGTTAGTTTCATTGTGTAATTTCTAAAAAAAAAATATTGAAAACAAATTCGCTTACTAAATGATATCTAGGTGATGAAGAGTGGGAGCACGAGACCCAGTGATCGAGCTAAGGGAGAGGAGAGACAGTGAGATGAGGGAGGAGAGGTAGAGATGCAATGAATTTGTAGGTTTTGCCTCTCTGCGTTTGGGAAACTGAATTAAATGTCATATTCTTGCGTAACAAAGAATTCGTCGCACAAAACCTCTGTATTCAAATATTTAGCGCCAAATATGTTCTCCTTTATCGCATTTTTACCCACCGTGCACAACCAAACTTTCTTCACATAAAACATATGCATTCCACATTCTAGTGCAAACTCATGGCCATTCTCGTGTTTTCTGATAACCTTTGCGTGACGACGTGGTTTTTGTCACATAATTCCTCTTTGCGCAACAAAAAAGTGATTTCGTCGTTATTTTATTAAATTTTTTTCTTTTTGTTTTAAAATACTTTTTTTCATTTATCGCTTTTTTCATTTTAAATCACATACACACTTCATAAACAAAGTATTAAATTAGACCCGAACAAATCTACAAATGTTTAAATTAATTAAATCATTCATGCATATTTAATTAATATAATCGTTTATTACAATAATATTTTATTCAACAAAAACTTTAAAATAGCATATTAAAAAGTAAGTTCATAAATAAAAACTTAAAACACAAATGTTAATATTTAATTAAACATAAAAGAAAAACATAAATAAAATTCTATTCTGCCACTGGTGGTTCTGGTATTCGGTTCAGCTCTGCCTCACGTTCAACATCAAACTTCCACTCCTGGAAAGAGGATTTGAATATTTTGTTGATGCACTTCATCAAATTTGGGTCACTTTGGTCAATGTCCTAATCAAGCTCTAACTCATCAACCAAGTGAGAGAGTGGAGGTCAAATTTATGTCACTTGGGTCACTTTGTTCAACGGCGGATTTTAGAGAGAGGAGGGAGAGGTCGTCGAAGGTGAGTGAGAGAGTGGTCTCGACGCAAATCCTTGCTGAGCTCAAGGAGCTCCTGATGGTGGAGATCAAATGGAAATGGTGATGGCGGAGATCAAGGGGAGACATGTTAGAAACAACCATGAAAGTAACTGATATAATGCATATATTAGTGTTACAAGCGTTTTAATTCATCAGCTCATAAATGTTGAATTAATCTTGTCTTATGAAGTTTAGTGGGATGTTTAATTTTAAAGTATGCATGTTGTTCATTTAGTTATGAATGCTGTGAACACAGTTCAAACCTTAAGTGGTACAAACTACAAAAAGTTGAAGCAAGACTTAGACATATGTCTGGGGTTAATGGATTTTGACATAGCTATCAGGGAAGACTCTCCTCCAGAACCTGCTGCAGATGCAACTGTTGATATTAAGGCCAAGTACAAAAGGTGGTTGAAAGCAAATCGTATTGCTCTTTGGGTGATGAAAAAGTCCATGTCTGACACAGTAAGCGGAGGAATACCATATTTTGAGAATGCAAAGGAGTATCTGACCTTGATCCATGAGAAATTCAAGGAATTAGACAAAGCTGAAACAGGTAATCTCATGAATGATCTTATGTCAACAAAATATAATGGTATGGGATGTGTGAGAGAGCATATACTAGAGCTGCTAGACACTGGTGCAAAACTGAATGCACTGGATGTTCCCATGAGTGATGCATTCTTGGTTCATGTAGCACTTAATTCATTACCTAATGAATACTCGCAATTGAAAAGCACATATAATGCACAGAAAGAGAAGTGGAGTTTAAATGAATTAATTGCCATATGTGTGCATGAAGAACAACACATTAGGTCTGAGATAATTGAGAAGAAGGTCAACATGGTGACTGAGTTCAAGAACAATGTTCAGAAGCCCGAAAGTGGGAAGGATACATCGAAGCTTGGAGTGAAGAAGAACTCCAAGAGCATCAAAGGGAAGTGTTTCTTCTGCAAGAAACCTGACCACATGAAGAGAAACTGTCAGAAGTATAAGAAGTGGCTCGAAAGTGGCAAGGGAAAAGGTAATATTGCAATTTATAAAGGTGAAGTTTTAGTTTGTTTTGAAACAAATAACACTGAATTTGCTAGAAATTCATGGTGGGTTGATAGTGGTGCTTCAATACATGTGATAAATTCTTTGCAGGGCTTCATAAACAAGAGGGTGCCAAGAAAGGATGAAATCTCAATGATCGTGGGAACTGGAGACAAAGCTGCTGTGAAGTTCATTGGAACAGTTAGAATTAAGCTAGAATCTAGTTTTATTTTGGAATTACATGATGTCTATTATGTACCTTCAATTAGAAGGAACGTAGTGTCAGTTAGTTAGCTTGTTAAGAAAAATTTCGAGTTATCAATAAATGACAGTGGCTTCATTATTTGCCAAGATTTGCAAGTTATTGGAAATGGTTTTCATATTGGTGGCATGTTTCAACTTAATTCCAAAGAATCTTGTTACATGGCTAATATGGTTAGACAGAAAAGACTTAATCAAAGTGAAACATTGTCCACTCTTTGGCACAAAAGATTGGGTCACATTTCGACTGAGAGGGTTAAGACTCTGAGCAAAACTGGTATATTGCCAGAGTTAGAATTAGACCATCTTGTCACATGTATTGAATGCATAAAAGGAAAAATGGTTAACTCACACAAAAAGGATGCAACCAGAAGCACTAATCTCCTTGAACTTGTGCACATCCATATGTGGACCCTTCCCCACTCTAACATATGATGGTTATAAGTATTTTATAACTTTCATAGATGACTTCTCGAGGTATTGTCATTTATATTTGCTCTCTGAAAAATCAAGTGCACTTATGGCTTTTAAAATCTACAAGGCTGAGGTAGAGAAACAGTTGAAGAAAAGAATTAAGGTGGTGAGATCTGACAAAGGGGATGAATACTATGGGAGATATACTGAGCATGGCAGGAACCCTGGACCCTTTGCACTTTACTTACAAAATGAGGGGATAATGGCTCAGTACACGAATCCTGGTACTCCACAACAAAACGGAGTATCAGAAAGGAAGAATCACACATTAAAAGACATGGTAAGAAGCATGATGAGTGCAACAAAATTACCAGTGTATTTGTGGGGTGATGCTATTAAGACTGCAAACTACATATCCAATAGAGTCCCCAACAAATCTGTAACTACAACACCTTTTGAATTGTGGTTAGTGTTTTCCTTTATGAAAGGAACTTTAAGTCTTTTGACCTATATAAATACTGGTCCCTATGAACCCTAAAACACACGAGATAAAGCTTTCCATTGAGCAGTGTTAAAGCTGAATTCATAGAAGACCCTGTGTTTTCCTCTTGGTGCAAACCGTCTCCATGGCCGCTGCAGGAGCTACATCAGGTTAGGGTTTCATTGTGTTCACGTAGTCATAATCATGCATGCAGTGTTTTAGTTATATAACCTTAAGGAGATAACAGAAGATGCATTAATTAAGACCAGCTAGCGTCCTCTGCCCTTGCCTTCTCAGTGTTTTCTACTTTTCACACTGCCATAGAGGAAGACAGTATCCTCCCTCCCAACTCGTAGACTGCTTGCCCAACTCATGGTCTCTAGCATTTTCCAAACCACAAGAAGTTGCCACCGTCAATTTAATATTTTGATCCGGAGATTCATTCGAATGAACAACGTACTGTTGCTGCACACTCCTTTTAGATAACTTGGCACTCAAATTCTCTTTTTCTCCACAGCTCTTTCAGCAACATCTCATGCATGCTGTTTTATCTTGCTGGGAGGTTGTATCTATGAGCTCCTCACTTGGCCGGCTACCACTTTCCCAAGCTCCGTACTTTTCTGCATCTTTGTATCTCAAGCCCGCCGTATCATTGAGGTCAGAGGTCCTCCCCCGACCTCCTCGGACTTCCCGTATGCGCTCTTCCACCCTCAAACTTCGAGTGTAAAAGTAGGCCTCTTCATCTTCTGACTGACAAGGTCAGTCGCACTTATCTTTCTAAACCCTAATTTTTCGTAAAAAAACAAGGATCCTACTTTTCATGTGAGAAAAATTCTACCAAAAGAACCAAAGCAAAAATCATTCCACTTAAATAGTAAATTCGAATCCGTGGAGCCATGTCGTGTCAACACCCCGCAAAGACACACCGCACATCCTACGCCTCTTGTTTCTGGATCTAACATCATTATCCACTACGACACGATGAGTCAGCATGCATGCAGTGCCAAGCACGAAGCAATGAACCAATCAAATCCTTTGTACCAGGACAATTGTCAACCTTAATCAGTTTAACCAACGTTAATTTTTACTAAGCAGCTAGTATTTTACCGAATCACCGCCCTGTAAAAACTCTGAAACTGCCTATATAAGTAACTGTAACAGTTCTAACAACATCACAACAAATAGTAAAGAACTTTTCGTATAGAGTGAGAGAGAGAGAGCGCGCTAGCTAGAGAGAGAATTACTCTAGACAACCACCCACCATTGAATGGCGCCAAACCGAGTGATCCCGGCAGCGTCAAAACTCCTGAAAGCTATCAAGCCACTCAACTCCGCCTCCACCACTACAGTCTCTGCCATATCCCCGCCAATCGGCTTTCCCGAAAAAACACCACAAGCCATCACCACCACGGACACCACCGCCACTAGCCTTTCCAATTTCGATGACGCAGATAAGCTGTTTGCGTCCGTCTCCACATCACATCTGTTGAGGACGGCACTGAACCTTCACATGGTAGCTATGGAGCCAATGGTGGACACTGGAATGTGGATCATGCGGTCCAGGCTCATGCAGACTCCCTTAATCAAGGACGTGATCTTGGAGATCATACGGTCCACAATTTACGAACATTTCTGTGCTGGCGAGAATCCCGTGGCCACCAGAAAGTCGGTGCTGGAGCTGAACGAGGCGGGGCTGAGAGGGATGCTGGTTTACGCTCTGGAGCATGCTGGCGACAACGAGGCATGTGACCGGAACTTGCAAGGTTTCGTGGACACCGTTGAGTCCGCCAAATCCCTGCCACCTTCTTCGGTAACTAGTTTTTCTCATCACCCAAAGCATTATTCCATTTATTGACTTTTCTCTTTGATCTTGTCAAAATTTGGCTTCATTTCTAATGTTTGCATTTAAAATGTTTATTTCTTTCAAAAAGCAATTTCATTAACCAAATATATTGATCGCATCACTGATATTACATTTATAATAAACGTGACATGGCCTTGCTTAGCATATCTACTAATTAACCACATTAATGTCACTCAACTACGTTGATGCATTAATTTCATTCCATATTGATTAAAGAGATGAGATGAGACGATACAATCAGTACTACTAAAGTTTGGTGTGATATTAGAAATATGTAGTCAGAGAACAACGTGAGATCGGAGAAGATTAAAATACAAAATCTTGTCGTTTTAGTGAGATTGTTTAGACTTATCACGTGATCAAGCGCTGACTCCATGCAACTAACAGGTGAGCTTTATAATTTTGAAAATCACTGCAATTTGTCCGATGAATCTACTTCAACGAGTGAGTGACTTGTTAAGATGGCAACAACAAGATCCTTCTTTTAATCTCCCATGGAAGCGCGATTCATTTCCCATTTTCTCCGAATCAAGCCCTCTCTACCACACCCTTATAAAGCCGGAGCTTTTAACTCCTGAAGAAGAGCGTGATCTCGAATTAGTCCACCAGAGACTACTGAAATTGTCCCAAAAGTGTGTAGAAGCCAATGTCCCTTTATCGATTGATGCAGAGTACAGCTCGATTCAACCCGCCATCGATTACTTGACCTACTCCTCTGCAATCATATATAACAAAGATGACAACCCGATTGTTTACGGGACAATCCAAGCTTACCTGAAAGATGCAAGAGAAAGATTGTTGCTGGCAACAAAGGCTGCAGATAAGGTGGGTGTTCCCATGGGGTTCAAAGTGGTGAGGGGAGCTTATATGTCGAGTGAAGGAAAATTAGCTTCTTCCTTGGGCTATAAGTCTCCTATCCATGATTGCATTGAGGACACACATGCGTGCTACAATGACTGTGCTTCGTTCATGCTTGAGAGGATTGCTAATGGCTCTGACGCCGTTGTTCTTGCAACCCATAATGTTGAATCAGGTAACGAACTTGAAAAACTTAATAGTTAAAACTTTTAGGAAAAGGCTACTGCACTGTTATGAATTTTGCACAAGTAATATGTCTGACGTAAAGTGTTGAATGTTAGGGAGACTAGCAATGGCAAAAGCACACGAAATTGGGGTCGGGAAGGTGCACCAGAAGCTTGAATTTGCACAATTGTACGGAATGGCAGAATCGCTTTCCTTTGGTCTGAAAAATGCAGGGTTTCAAGTGAGCAAGTATATGCCATTTGGACCGATACAGTTGGTGCTGCCTTACCTTCTAAGGAGGGCTGAAGAGAACAGGGGACTCTTATCTGCTTCATCTCTGGACAGACAACTAACAAGGTAAAATTAAATTTCGACAAAATCTTTTGAATACGCAGCATAAAAGGTCAGTTTTATTCAAATCTGGTTTGAATTTTTCATTTGAATACAGGGAGGAGCTGATGAGGAGACTCAAAACAGCAATCTTCTAATGCAAAATTGACAGCTTTGTGCAACAGCAAGCTTGGTGATCCATCACCAAGCTTGTAAATGGGATGATCTGTAATTATGGTGATTGCTCATGAGTTTTAGTTGAATTCAAACGTGCATATAGGAATTAGGAAATCTGGGGTTCTGTTTTCCTCATTTCATTAGATTGTACTACAGGGCAACAAATCCATATTTGCTTCCTAGCTCTACTTCCATGGTGATTCACCACAAGGGCCTGCACCATATTGACCAAGTTCTAAATCATGTTTTTTGCTTCAGCAAAAGGAATTTGAATAAATTTTTTATGTTGCTTCCAAATTGCTTAAATCTACTTGCAATAAGGATGATGTTTGATTGACTAGGAGGAGCAACTAAATTGGAACTTGGGTAGGCTGCCCACATAGGGCAGTTACCCTCTTTTGCACGGGTGGGAGCAGAATGGAGTCAGGCAAAACCAAAATATATGAGGTCCCTTAACTTTTCTCAGAGTGGTCAGAAGCTCAACCTTGACTCGTATTCCCAAATACTTGCAATCAAAGACATAGGAATGGCTTGTGGAGGTTATCAACATTCTCGATCAGCATGTGGTTTGCGTGGGCGGTGAGGTCTGAAGTTTCCAAACCATAAAACTATTCATCTATTTATATTTTATTTTATTGTCCATAACCATATAAGTTAAATAATCCTGTAGATATCATGGTTTCTTGTATCCAATAAACTGGAAAGATACAACAATGTGCTACAACCAGCATAACAACTGGTGTGGGTTACTCATGTTCATGATTTTTACCAATCCAAATTCCAAAATGCAAATCAATCAATGTGAAACCCTTACTGCATGGATCTAACCAGGCAAATTATTTCATGTGTATGTGAATGCAAGCTTGTTTTTGATTTTAGCCACATGGCATGCCGTGCATGAATATCATGACATCGAATCTACTCATTACCTGATCATCTCTTCAAAGTTTAATAAGCTTTGAAATTTTCTGGACAGTGCAACTATACGATCTTGTCTGATCGGCTGTCCAACTCATAGCAGTAAGATCGTTTCTTACATAGCGCCAAACTCACATCCGAGGAGCCTTGTTTAGGTTTAGCATGCTAAGTATCAGCTCCATGAAACCTGCACAAGGATGTACCATTCAAAAATGTCAAAGAGGTACCGAATAACAAAAATAAACACAAGGTGCAGCATCTTAACTTCTCAAATTTGACATACTAATTGAGGTTCTATAGACAAGACATGATTGCAGCTATAAGTATTCAATTTTACGGATATTGATGAAATTAAATTCCAGTTAACTTTTTGTTTTTCTTTTTCTTACTACCCTATAGTCTATCCTCAAAAAACATGATGGAACACACGGGCAAGTTCGGAGCATACATCTAAATGCTAATCTCAGCATTCATATTGGATATTAAAATTAGCCATTTCCTATTATTTACAAGATATTACATTTCAGTTGATGGTACCGTATATAAATCAAAATTCAAAGCTACCACTAGAATGTATGTACATATTGGTCAGCTCCAGAGTTTGATATCCTAGTGTGACTCTTTCCCATCAGAGAAGGCATCCATGAGATCGAACATTTTCCCAAGCTCCTTGCTTATTATACTGGGCCTAAGTTGCTTATCATTGATTCCAAACTTTGCTCTTTCAATTGCTTCCATTACATCTTCTCTGGCCACAGTTTCACCACCTGCAAAAAGCCACAGATTAATATGATTTAAGTTAAGATCAATGTGCACATGGATAGAAAAAAACTAGTGATAATTTGGATGTAGTGTATACTTTAACATACTCCTACGACCAACAAGTAAATCAGCTTCATTGATGATGTTTGCATGATCAGCACCCACAAAACCTGGTGTCAGAGAAGCAATGAGTTATCAAATAAGAATACCATCTTCCTCCAAAGGATCTCCTCTCAAATGTGCAGCTAATATCTTTCTCCTTCTTTCATCTCGTTATCCTACAACTATTTCAGGTTTTTCAGTTTTCTTTCCTTCTTTCAAGAATTTTTTTTTTTACTTAAAATAGCTTGCGAGTCAAAATGATAATTTCTTAAAGTCGCTTGTGTTATGTCCATCTCCTCACCTGCTCCTCAAAGATCACAAAAAGGTATATCTTTTTCTTCTTAACTTTAAAGATTTGTTATTTGGTTTACTTGAGTACGTACTATGGTACTTGTTTCCTTGTTATAATTGATTGATTATTCTTGATTGGACGAAAGAGAACTGTCATCAGACATCGGGATGGAAGTATACTTTGGTACTTGTTTTCTTACTCTTCATCTTGAGCTCTCTCTAAATATGCATTGAAAAGTTGGATTAGATAACCCCAAGACCCATCACTCACTTAGGCCAATTTTCAAGGAGATCGATTAGGAAACTCTTGTTTCATTTTATTTTCCCATCTTTTGATTGATAAATTTGTAGGCCTCAACGGTTTCATGCCAATTAAAACATGAATAAAACTAACCTGGATTTACCCAAAGATAGATCTTCATTGATGATGCTCTTGATATCAATAGGGTATGACTAGGAAGAAGGTGAATTGGTTGAATGAACAAACTAGAGGAAGATAGCCTGAAGAACTTCCACGCATTGCTACTCCTCATACAACAAATTGATGGGGAGATTTAAGGATTGTGGGTTAGTTCACAAGGATCACCTCAAGTATGTAGGCAATAACTTACCTCTAAACCCTATATAACTAACATAAGAGAGATCTAACCCTAGTTTGTATTTGTGTACAACTGTGCAACCAACTTAGGGTTATATAAGAATTTAACTCCAACAAAATTATCTATTATCTCTTATGCCATTGCAGAATCTTAAGTCTCTCTTCTATAATTCTACGAAATTAACAAATTTGACTATGTGAGAGTATTGTCACTACCATAAATTACCATTTGTCCGACGATTGTTTTGCCCGATGAACCGACTTTCATTGGGCGAAGTAACTTTACCAATAGAATAAAACATTTGGTCGGGCAAAAGTGGTCAACTTTGGTTTCTTCAGAAACTTTTGCCTAACGAAATTGGTCAATGAGCAAAGTAACCTTTATCGGACAAAGTTTTCCTGCCAAGTGCTAAACATTCTTTACGACAATCTAGAAAAGCAAGGGCCAATAGTGGGAGTGACGAATTGATTCCGCTTCAAGTCACTATGTGAACCATCTATGTGACCTAATCATTGTGCCCTTTGGACTAAAGCCTATGTCAGAAAAATGAGATTTAATGATCTCTACTTTAATAGCCTTATCTAAGATGGTCAAGTTAGCCATATACTGTCTCAAGAGGTGTGTCTAGGCAAGCAGTTAAACCAAGTTAGACAGACATGAGAGCTTAGGGAGGTAGTTTGAAGACTACACTATGTCACATGATCCATTAGCTGGCCTATGTTTGTTTGATATTTGTTGTAAAACATAGATATGGATACATGATACTTATGGAACATGACATTGCTTTTGTATCATAGCGAGGGATAAAGAATGTCAAGTTTGGTGTATGACGAGCTATCTGGATATAAAGCAATGAACTTCCTATTGATGCACTCTTGTTAAGTTTGGTGGTAGCTTAATGACAGTGCTCCTGGATAAGTACGTTTGTTCTCACAAGGTTGCATGTCCTATATTCTGTATGAGGAGGTAAACTATAATGGATGAGAATTAGATGAGCTAATTGAGATGATATGAACACCCTATGTGGGTAAGTGGGAGATGTAGGATTTATATAAAACATGTACAATATTAATCCACCCAATATAGAGTATGTTATTGATATGTCTTCTTTGTCCCACATCAACCATTTTCTTTTCTCTTCCCCTCCTAGTGTAACGACCCGTCCCCAATTGTTACGAATTTTATAATTTTAAAATGTGAAATTACAAAAATTGCCCTTCGAGGCAAATGCGTTGACTTTTGTTGACCACTTTGTCGTGTCATGTAAGATCTATTTCCTTGACGTATTCTTATAGTACTCAGCGTTATGGACGTGTGGACACAAGCGGAACGTAATTTTGAGTTATAACGAAGAAGTTATAGGCGAACAAAGTTAAGGGCAAAATGATCATTTGACCATAAATTTGGAAGGCTCCAGATTTTGTTGGAGCATCAACCTGGTGCCATGTGTATGGCCAGGTTGAAGAGCAATGAAAGATGGACAGAGGAGAGAAAGAAGAAAGGAGAGAAAGGAGGGGATGCTGCCCAGTCAGGAATAAGAGGAAGAAAGTGAACCAATGGGAGGGGAGAGAAAGGAGAGAAAGGAGGAAGGAGGGGAACTCGGTCCCTTCCTTTTAATCCGATTTCCTTGCGACTTGACCCGATGGAAATAATGGTTTCCGATGTTTTCTTCAGCCAAATTCCGGTGAATTACACCAAATTATTACTTGGAAATAAATCCCCAACCTTCCCTCTCCCATTTACACCCAAAAATCAATGCAAAATTAGCCTTGGGTGTAGGTAAAAATGCACCGATGGGTTTCATGGGTGCACAGCGGTGATCGACCATTTCTGGAACCACCACCGTCGATCACCATCATGGTTCGACTTCCCTTGAGGCCATGAACAAACCCCAAACAAGTTTTGCGGCAGTGGAGCATCAGAGGGGACAAATCGACAACCACCTATTTCTAGGGTTTCCAGCAGATTGAGGCTTTTTCAGGCCACTTCCTGGCCGAAATGGATTTTGGCCCAGATATGAAAGTTGTTCCTCTCATTGAGATCTTCATTCTTGTAAAATTTGTTGAATTTTTGTTGTTGAATTTTTCGGCGAGTCAGCGGCTCATGGGGGAAACCCGAGGTCCATCCTTAGGTTTTTCGACGTGCTGAATCCAAATCCGTCGTCCATTTTCCCAAATTCTAACGTTTTTGTAGAGTTTTACTAAATGGTCCCTAATTGTGGTTAGGTGCATTGGTGGAAAAGGACTCCATCCTCGCTAGCTCAAGCGGTTCTCAAGCAACAAAATATTTGTGAGTGGACCCCTTCAAAA